ACAGCGTATGCTATGAAGGAAGTTCTTCTTTTTACAAACGTGCAAAAATACAATGTCTTAAATCCTATTCTAAATATATATATTTTAAAACATGAGCAAAAAAGGGATTGAATGATTAAAAACATACTTAAAACTGGAGAAACTGCATTTTCTGTGAAAATGCAGCATGGCACTTAGAGCTGAATGACTGCTGCCATTTACTAAAGAAGCTAAAACTGACTTGGTAAAACTAAAGTAGCAGAAAAATGGATGGATGATGGATGGATGGATGATGGATGGATGATGGATGGATGGAATAAAAGGCTAGTTAAAATAGCTAAATGCTAACTGGAAGCTAAAAATAAAAAAAGCTAGCTTAAAGCTAAAAGTAATATTTTCCACCGTACCCATCGCGCTGCCCTATAAGTCTCATCAGTCAAGTCAGATTTATTTATAGAGCACATTTCAGTCCACACATGTCTGTTAAAGTGAAAAAAACCCATAAATAAGTCGCATCTATTATGCGTCACCATGGACAACCTGGAAATGTGGGCCGGTGTTGTGCCAAAAATCGATCGGCTGCCAAAGGGCGGCTGCGGGAGCGTGCACGGGAGGACTTTAACAAGATTAATACTTAAAAACAATTATTTGTTTGCTCGACATTATAGTAAAGGTGTGTCTCAGTTGAACTTTTCCTTAACAAATGCACTTCATTGGTCAAATTAGCTGCATTTCTCCGATGCAGCAAAATGAAGCTGACTTGACGGTTGCTCCAGGTGAGCTGGAAGAAGTTGGCAGTCTATGGCAAGCCGATTGTGTCATTAATAGCCACTTTTTACCTATTACATGACACAATGGCATGCCATACACCTCGAGTGCCATCTAGCGGCTGAAAACAGTAGTGTTCAATATCCTGATGCATGCTCAATAATCCAGGTAAAAAAATCTATAAAAGTTAAATCTGGTCCTCTGGACATTCAAAAAGCAAGACAAAGCAAATCAACAAAAAAATGTAGAAACTTTTCGTCTTTCATCCGAGAGACTTCCTCAGTCTGAGGTGCTGTTTTCAGCTCAGTCTCTTAAATAGCACCTTCTTAGAGTGGATCAACCAGTTTTGCTGCTGACAACCAGAACCAGCTGATCACATGCTCAAGAAGGACCATCAGCCTAACAATGGATCATTAACACACTGATGGCTGTTTACTGTTCACAGAGGGCTGAGTGATACTAGCAATCACAGCATTGTAAGAGGGGGACAGTTGAACACGGAGGCCTCCACCCCTGTTTAATGATGGACGATTTCTTCTCACAAAGATGGCCTCCTTTACTCCTCTCTCAAACCATCGTTCCTCTCTGTCCAGGATGTGAACATCTTCATCCTTGAAAGAGTGACCTCTGGCCTGGAGATGAGTGTAGACCGCAGAGTCCTGGCCTGATGATGTTGATCTTCTGTGCTGGTCCATCCTTTTGGCCAGTGGCTGTTTTGTTTCCCCGATGTAAGACTGATCACCCTCCTGACACTGAACAGCATACACAATATTACTCTGTTCGTGCCGGGGGACTGGATCTTTAATGCATTTTTAGTACTGTAGTGTTCAATATTTTCAGTCAGAATGAATGAAAACGGTCATATCTCAGTCAAAAATTGGTTTATAAAGATGGAAAAATCCATAAATAAGTCGTCTCGGTGTAAATTATGAAAAAAAAACTGTGGCTTATAGACCGAAAAATACGGTAGTCAATGGCTGGCTGAAGGCTATGATTTGCAAAGGACTAGATAAAATGTAAAAAATAGTATAGAAGATAAAAACAAAACAATAAGCAGAAGCAGATTTTAAAGAAAAACTAGTTGTTTTTTTAAAGTAATTTAAGAGATCAATGTCTTTCTTTGTTGGAATTTTTTGTAAATAAAGGTAAATATATCAAAAAGTATAAACATTACAAAAACCAAAACTCATTGCCTCCATCTCCTGACTGAAGTGAACATTTATCATTTATTATTATTTGAACTGCACAAAACATGCAGAAGTAGTTAGTTTGCAAAATTCTCAGAAAATGTAAATATAATCGAGTGAATGCTGGATTAGTATTAACACTAATAAAAACGTATTGCTACTGTATGTTCATTAAACGTGAGGAGTAGGACGTGCTGGTTACTTTATGAAATGCACACGAAGTATAAAACCCTGAACTGTACTCCCTCTGATTATCAGTGAGTTATTGCATCTTCACACCAAAACAGGTTTTTGTAGAACAGAGCTACTGAAGGGACAGTTTTTAATGTCCCTTCAACTTCTGCTCATAGTGTTTTACCCCCAACTCACACTTTAGTCTCTGTAGAAGAAGCTGTTGGCCAAAAATCATCTTACAAAAGCAGTTTCCCTGACTCATCAGCTTCGAGCCACGTCTACTGGAGGCAGTGGTGCGTGTGCGTGTGCGCGCGTGTGTGTGTGTGCGTGTGCGTGTGCGTGTGTGTGTGTGTGTGTGTGCGTGTGCGCGCGTGTGTGTGCGTGTGTGCAGAGGGGGTTGTTGAGGTGATAGCGCAGATGTCAGGATGTAATAATAGCCCCCAAGCTCAATGCCCTGCTGCCCTCACGGGTTGAGGCCTAGCTGTAATCCACACGTCAGTTTTAGCTTGACAGCAGTCCCTTAGCTCGCTCCTCAGCGAGGGGATTAAAGACTAAAAGAATTTCAGGCTAAAAATTACTCTGACATTGAATTTTGATGACAACAAAGTTATTAGAAAGTCTGTTAGCCTTGAGAAATGCTAAACTGCATAAACTAGCTAGCGTGCACAAGCTGACCGTTGCTCGCATGCTAACGTTTGCTAATTAATTAGCCTTTATTACAGTTTGACTGAAACTGACCCACTGCTGCCAGAAAGGTTTAATAAACTGCCACAAAACGTGTATGCTAATGAGACATTTGTCAGGCCCTTTGTATTTTCATGAAATAGTTTATTTTATGGACTGCTCTTGAGCGTTTCAATAACCTACAGTTTTACAAATATAAAGGAGTCAACAGCTAGTCAGAGTGGGACCAGCTGCACTTCAACTTTCTAAGGAGTTTAACGACGACTCCAAAATCACAGCAGCTCAACCCATCGTTATTTTATTGACTGCAGCCTTTCCTTCCTGTCAAGTAGCTGCTTTTGTCAGATTCACCTAACTTATTCCATTTTGCAGCACCAATTAGTTGCATGTTATCTTGGTGTTCAGTAATGACAATAATCATTAACTAATCATAAACGTCTTTGTAAAAAACTGCAAAGCAAAAGTGACAGCAGGGTAAAGGTTTAGAAAATAATGTTTGCATGAGCCCACTAATGAAACTGATGGAAAAAATGTATATACATAGGATATATACAAAGTACTATATGTTGTGGTAGTAAAGATGATCGGCTTATTTCAGAACATGGCCTTGAATGTGCACACGCTGCAGGAGACATTAACAGGCACCTGATGGTACACATCGGTGCCAAGGACATTACCGCGCATGTGCAGATCTACGGTATCTGTGAGAGGTCAATATTCAATATTGCTGTATTCACAGGCAATATTCTACACTATATACATGTTTCTACTATGCAAGAAAAACACCAAGTCACAGTATTTTGTCTGATACTGTCCTGACCGTTCAACCCGTTAAACAAAACATACTTTTCAGCAGATGAGCCGAACTGTGCAGGTTTCTCTCAGCTAGTTGGAATGTGAAGACGGAGGCTGCGCGGGGGAATCTTCCTTTGTTATAAATAATTACAGCTTTGTGCTGACAGTCAGAAAGCTGCTGGTCATGCTGTAAGGATGACACTCTGCTGGTTTTGAGGGTGTTGTTCATTTTGTATATCAGTTACGTGTCTTATCCAAAGTTGAGCCTTTTTGAAATCGTTCTGACTTGGAAAAGGCCGTTCATGCTTTTATCACTTCAAGGCTTGACCACTGCAATTCCCTACATGCAGGAGTCTCCCAATCCTCCATTAGACGCCTTCAATTGATCCAAAATGCTGCAGCTCGACTCTCAACCAACACCACTGGCTGTGACTGAGTGGTTAGAGCAGTCGTCCTCCAATGCAAGAGTTGGGGGTTCAAATCCACCAGCAGTCACATGTCAAAGTGTCCCTGGGCAAGACACTGAACCCCTCATAGCCTCTGATGTGTGTCCCATCAGTGTATGAATGTGATCTAAAGCTCTGATTAGTCTCTTTAGAATGATTTGTTCAATTAGCTTTGCAGAGATCTAGTATAGAGCTGTCTGAATGAGTACATGAGGGCACAGATTGTTGTGTAAAGCGCTTTGAGTGTCTTGAAATAAGATAGAAAGGAGCTGTATAAGTACAGTCCATTTACCATTTACCTCCAGACGTGAGCACATCACCTCTGTTTTATTTTCTCTCCACTGGCTTCCAGTTGATTTTAAAATTAAAATCAAAATGTTATTATTCACTTTTAAAGCTCTTAATGGTCTTGCCCCACTGTATCTGACTGATCTCACAGCTGTTCGTGAATATAGGAGAACACTGAGATCATCCATTACTTTGCACCCAGACTCTGGGACCAGCTACCTCAGGACTTGTGCTCCATCACTGATATGGACCATTTTAAGTCTAGACTTAAAACCGTTTTATTCAGGCAGGCTTTTAATACCTACTAGTTCTTTGGCAATCTTGCTATGTTTTAATTGTTTTTAATTTTTAACTGTTGTTGTTTTTTTTTATTCTTAAATGTTTGTTTCTAACTTCTGTACCGTGCAGCACTTTGTGCACCTTTTGGCTGCTGGAAAGAGCTCTATAAATAAAGTTTGATTGATTGATTGACGATTGTATGTAAGGTCAATATCTTTCTCTTTGCAAGTTTGTTTAGTACATTTATGGTCAAACTTCAATCATGAACTCCTGAATAATTATTTCAATTTTTTTTTTCTTACACATACATTTGAGATTGAAGTAAAACATTTTTCCAGTGGTTCAATAAGCTTATAAGCTCTTATCTGTTGACTTACTTCCTTCTTTTGGATGTTTTCAGGTACTTTCCAGGGTCAGTTCACTGGTGGGATGCGGCATGGCTACGGCGTTCGTCAGAGTGTCCCATATGGCATGGCAGCAGTTGTCCGCTCCCCTCTTCGTACCTCCTTGACTTCGCTTCGCAGTGAGCACAGCAATGGCACAATCCTTCAGCAGGACATCCCTGTCATCACCACCACCAATGCCTCAGGTGAAGAGACACCTGTCACCACCCCTACCCAGCTGGGACCGTCTCGTGGAGGTTTTGCCCTCACTCTCCAAGTGGACCCTGAAGCTGTGAAGCCTAAGAAGAAGGGTCTGTTTCGCAGGGGCTCTCTGCTGGGTAAGTTAAAGAAGTCTGAATCCAACACATCACTGTCCAGCCAGAAGAGCAAGCTTAGCTTCCTGAGGACAGAGTCAGCTCTCAGCTCCAATGCCAGCGACACAAACTCCACCATCAGCGGGGATGAGAGCCTGGCAGGAGCTGAGGACTTCCCCCCAGTGGAGGCTGACATCGACGCCACCACCACAGAGGTCTACATGGGAGAGTGGAAGAACGACAAGCGCTCCGGATATGGAATAAGTGAAAGATCCAGCGGACTGAAGTATGAGGGCGAGTGGCTCAATAATCAGAGGCATGGCTATGGCTGCACCACGTTTGCCGAGGGAGGGAAAGAGGAGGGCAAGTACATGAATAACATGCTGGTGAAGGCCATGAAGAAGAGGGTGATCCAACTGAAGGGAACTAAGATCAAGCAGAAGGTGGAGCGGGCGGTAGAGGGTGCACAGAGGGCTGCAGCCATCGCCAAGCAAAAGGCAGAGATTGCTGCTTCCAGGTAAGAAGAAACAAAAAAGTAAAATACATGTTTACTTACATATCTGGTTGGAATGATTGGTACAATGATACTTCTATCATGGCAGTAGCTGTGCATTTTGCCTACACTAATGCTGACTGGGTTTGTTGAGTGGCTCATTATAAAGTTATTCTTTTCTATTTTCACAATATGCATGACATATGTTCATTGAAATCAATAATCCAGACACAATATGGGTCTATTCTAATTCAGAATCATGCTTTTGTGGCCTCATGAGGGTTCTGACCTGCTTGGAGTCACTTTTACATCTAAACTGTCTGGCACATGACTTCTGCCTAGTTTTAATCTATTTTCAGACCCAATTTTCTGCTATGCTAAATATATACTGCTGCATGTTTATAATTCTGTGCAGAATGTCTTTGTGTGTGCTGTTCTTATCAAGCATCACATTTGTTCACAATGCTCACCTCTTCCTTTCAGATTTCCATCAGTATAAATGTTTTTGCAAAGCTTTTTTGACAAACTAGTAAACATGTAATAAGAACAAATTCCACAAATATAGCTGGGTATTTCACTTTGAAGATTTACCAAATCATAGTTGTTGATTTCATGTGAAACAAATGGAGCAAACCAGAGCCCACCGAAAGACACTTTCTACAGAGCTGATGATCGGGAACAAGGTCTGTCTAACATTAGCAACATATTATTAGCTGTTTGCTGAAGTCGTGGAACAGAAATGTCAAGAGTGTGAGAGCAGAGGGGGTGGGGGGCTACACCCAGACCAGCAGTGCAGGCAGACGGGGTCCATTTGTACTTCCATAACTGTAGAAATACAGCATTAAATTATTTAAAGCTGAGGTGTTGATTTGTCTGTTTGCCTTTTGAAATAATAATTTTTAACAGCAAAAATAAAAAATTTTAAGCAAATTTGTGTGTTATATTTAGTCAAAGTTTTTGTATCACTCTTCTTTACAAATTATTTTTACTGTGCATATTTTTATTATTTTTACTTTTTCTTTAAAAAAAACAAAAAACCTTTCCTTCCTGTGGGCCCACCACCTGCAGGAGGGTGCATGATGCCATGGGCAGTGGCTGAAGGCGTGGACCTTGGCGCTCTGACTCCAGCTTACCAAAGCTGGCTCTTGGGACATGGAATGTAACCACTCTGGCGGGGAAGGAGCCTGAGCTTGTGCGCGAGGTTGAAAGGTACAGATTAGTTGGGCTCACCTCGATGCACAGCATGAGCTCTCTGGACCTTATTCCACTCTGGAGTTGCCCATGGTGAGAGGTGTTAAGATGGTGTGGGTCTACTCTTAGTCCCCTGACTTGGTGCCTGTGTGTTGGAGTTTTCCCTGGTAGATGAGAGGGTGGCTTCTCTGCACCTTCGGGTGGAGGGACGGGGTCTGACTGTTGTTTGTGCCGGCATGCCAAACAGCAATTTAGAGTATCTGGTCTTCTTGGAGTCCTTGGCAGGGGTGCTGGAAGGTGTGCCAACTGGGGACTCCTTTATTCTGCTGGGGGACTTCACTGCCCACGTGGGTAAAGACAGTGTGAACTGGAGGGGCGTAATAGGGAGGAACGGCCTCTCTGATCTGAACCTGAGTGGTGTTCTGTTGTTGGACTTCTGTGCTAGTCATAGTTTGTCCTTCACAAACGCCATATTTAAACGTAAGAGTGTCCACAAGTGCACTTGGCACCAGGACACCCTAGGTCCTACTTTGTAGATCAATGATTGTCTTTGTAGTTGTGTCATCTGATTTGCGGCTGTTTGTTTTGGATACTCGGGTGAAGAGAGAAACTGAGCTATCAACTGATCACCAACTTCTAGTGAGTTGGGTCAGATGGCGGGGGGAAGATGCCCGACAGACCTCGTTGACCCAATGTGTAGTGAGGATTTGCTGGGAATGCCTGGCAGAAGAATTTGTCAGACAGGTCTTCAACTTTCATCTCCAGGAGAGCTTTAACTGCATCCCAGCTAAGGTGGGGGACACAGTTCGAGTGGGCCATGTTCCACACCTCAATTGTTGAAGTAGCTGCCTTGAGCTGTGGCCGCAAGGTTGTCAGCGCTTTTTGCAGTGGCCATCCTCGAACTCTGTGGTGGACACCCCAGGATAGGGATGCTGTCAAGCTAAAGAAGGAGTCCTATGGAGACTCCAGAAGAAGCTGAGGAGTACTGGAGGGCCAAATGGTCTGCAGCTTTGGCTGTTGCTGAGGCAAAAGCTCAGATGTAGGAGGAGTTCAGTGAGACCTTGGATAAAGACTCTCTTTCAGCTCCAAGGAGATTCTGGCAAACTTATCAGGTGGCTGAAAAGGGGCAAACAGCACTTTATTAACACTGTTTTCAGTGAAGGTGGGGTACTGTTGACCTCAACCCATGATGTCGTTGAGAGGTGGAAGGAATACTTCTCTGACCTTCTCAATCCCACTGGCACGTCTTTCATTGAGGAAGCTGAGTCGGGGGACTTTGGGGTTAGTCTGTCCATAGCCCATAGTCCATTGCTGAGGTCGCCGAGATAGTTAAAAAGCCCAAAGGTGACAGGGCTCCGGGGGTGGATGAGATTCACCCTGATTTCCTTAGGGCTCTGGATGTTGTCAGGCTGGTTGACACGCCTTTGCAACATCGCGTGAACATTGGGGGCAGTGCCACTGGGGTGGCGGTTCCCCTCTTCAAAAAGGGGGACTAGAGGGTGTGCTCCAATTATAGGGACATAACTCTCCTTATACTCCCTGGTAAGGTCTATTCAGGGATACTGGAGAAACGAGTCACATTGTTGGTTGAATCTCAGATCCAGGAGGAACAATGCAGGTTCCATCCTGGCCGTGGAATACTGGATCAGCTCTTTATCCTCACTAGGGTCCTTGAGGCATCATGCGAGTTTACCCATCCAGTCTACATGTGTTTTGTGGACATGGAGAAGGCTTTGGATCGTGTTCCTCGAGGTACACTGTGGGGGGGGGGGGGGGGGGTACTCCATGAGTATGGGATTGGTGGCCTGATGCTACGAGCTGTTTAGTCCTTATACAAGCAGTGCAAGAGTTTGGTTTGCATTGCCGGTAGTAAGTCGGACCCCTTCAGGGTGGGAGTTTTTCTCTGCCAGGGCTGCCTGTTGTCACTGATTCTGTTCATAACTTTTATGGACAGAATTTCTTGGTTCAGCCAGGGGGCAGAGGGAGTCTGGTTTGGTGGCCTCAGGATTCCATCTCTGCTCTTTTCATATGATGCAGTCCTGTTGGCGTCATCGTGCCGTGATCTCCTGCTCTCTCTGGAGTGGTTCGCAACCGAGTGTAAAACGGTTGGGATGAGAATCAACACCTCCAAATCTGAGGCCGTGGTCCTCATTTAGAAAAGGGTGGATTGCTCTCTTTGGGTCGAGGGTGAGATTCTGCCTCAAGTGGAGGAACTACTTTGGGTAGTAACCGAAAGAATGAGATTGCGGATACAGGCAGTTGAAATGCGTTTCCTCTGTAGGGTAACTGGACTCCCTTAGTGATAGGGTGAGAAGTTCAGTTATTAGGGAGAGACTCAGAGTAGAACCGCTGCTCCGCCACATCGAGAGGAGTCAGTTGAGGTGGTTCATGCATCTCGTAAGGATGTTCCCTGGGAGCCTCCCTAGAGAGGTGCTTTGGGCATGTCTGACTGGGAGGAGACCCCGGGGAAGACCCAAGACACGCTGGAGAGGCTATGTCTCAGTTGGCCTGGGAACACCAATCCTCCCAGATGAGCTGGAAGAGGTGGCTGTGGAAAGAGATGTCTGGGCCTCCCTGCTCAAGCTGCTGCCCCACAAACTGACTTTGGTGCAAATAGAAGATAATGGATGGATGGATGGATGGATGGATGGATGGATGGATGGATGGAT